AAAAAGTGGGGTAAAAGTCATACATTCGGCTGTCAAGTCTTAGCATGATGGAAATTTCGCAAGCATTTCCAAAAACAGTAAGCTTGTATCCGATTTTAAATAATGAACATAGTTAGGTAGTACGACTTGTTATTGTAAGCATTGCCAATATAGACGGGTTAATAATATGAAGAAAAAAAAAATCAACAATGAAAAATTATTAACCACTAATAAACTTTAGTTTGAACTTTAGAATTTGAGAGGGAGAATAAAAGCATAATAATAACCATATTTGTAATATTGAATAATCTTCTCACGGAATTAATGGTTTTTTTTTTGGGAAAAATGCAGAAATGGCGTACGGAAATCATGTCAGGATGCGTATGCATGGGCATGAGAATAAGCGAACATCAACGGCAATCCATCCGTAATACCGCCGTAAAGAATCGAAAGTCTATATAATTTATAATTTATGATCTATAAATGATCTGTTATATTACTCAGATTCTTTAAAAGATTATATGATAACCTATAAATAATGCATATAAATAATAATACCTATAAATAAATGTATAAAGAATCTAAGAAACGAAATATTTCCAAGTTTAAAAGAATGTAGTTATTATGAATTCGTTAATCAAATAAATAATCAACGTAGTTGACACTTTAATCAACATAATTGACACTTTAATCAACATAATTGACACTTAATCAACATAGTTCACACTAAATTATATAAAAGCTACATTTCCCGAAGGCCAAAACCGAAACCTCCGAAACCGAATATCTAAACCAAATAAATATAAATCGAAATAAAAATAATAATAAAAATAAAAATAATAAAAAATTTAAATTTAAATAATCAAGGTAAAACATGCTTTAAGGAAATTTGGTACGTAGCTCAACTATTTACAGGTTCATTAATAAATAAACAATAAGAAACCAGGTATAATAAAGAGATAAGCATGCTTTAATCTGGTGTCGCCACGCGCCGCAGGTACGTTATGTGGAAAGAGTATATACGTTGATCGACGATCTGCGAGGCATACGAATTATTAACAAATAGCAGATAACAGCAGATAGTTCTGGTACCGCATAGAGATTATCTTGGGTGATAAATAAGGATACTTTGACTTCTTATAAGGTATGATCAGTGATCAGTGAGACAAACAGTGATTAACCAAAAGGACCAATCACGTGTATGTTCCTACATTCTTTTGCATGTCACTATTTCTCTTTTAAACGTGTTAATATTGATGATATTCATCTCACATCATATCACAAACACATGAGCAAATTTTATTTGTTCTGTATTTATTAAGGATGATGTTAAATGACAGAATTAGCATTTTACTTGTACGCTATATTTATTGATATGTAACAAAGAATAAAATTTTAGCAATAGAAAATTAAATCTAACTGCTAATAAGCAATAGTTTTATTGTACAGGAAAAGATTTGAGTAAATTGATAACCCGTACGCGTATCAGAAAACTCATTTAGCTGATAACTGATAAAACTTTTTTTTTTTTTTTTTTTTTTACTTAAAAAAAGAAAAATTAAAAGTTTCTTGGAAAAGTAATCTGTTATCATTTTCAGTTTTTTTTCTTTTTGTTGTGCAGCTGAAATGTTTGCTTTCTATATGCATGTAAGTCTGTATGTATGCGTGGTGAGAATGAAAGATAAATTTATGAGCGAATTAGAACTTTTCGTTTAATCTTTTAACAATTATTTATCCGTAAATCTTTGATAGGCAAGGGGTTTAATTATCAAGAATGGAAGCATATATTCGCACAAATCAAAGCACGTAAAGAATTATAATTTACCTTATCATTTCTTTTCTGTTATCCTTTTCGTCGTTGAATTGGTTGTTTGTTCTGTTTATTTTATTATAAACTTTAAACTTTATAAACTTTATAATAAATTTTATAAATTTTATAAATTTTATAAATTTTATAAATTTTATAAACTTTATAAACTTTATAAACTTTATAAACTTTATAAACTTTATAAACTTTGTAAACTTTGTAAACTTTATAAACTGCAAAAAAAACCCTTTAGCCTGCATCTTTTTTAATGTGTGACGTAAAAAAAATCATCTTTAAGTTTATTTTTATTTCATTATTATTATTATTTTTATTTCATTATTATTATTATGATTTATTATGATAATAATAACAATTCAGGAATTTTATGCAAATATTCATATGATATCTCAATAAAAATCCAATGAATAATTAAATTCAAAAAAATATATATATAAAAATAAAAAATAAAAAATTTAATTTGTGAACATATTTGTGTGCCGTTAATTAGAATCAAAATGCCAAAATTTCGTTTAGTATAACCGAGATTACAAACAACCGTTTTCGCGCTTAATTATTTGTTTTACGACAATAACTTGTTACCATAACATTTACCATGCATAAATCTACGGTACCTATTTCTATTCATCTGGTTTAATATGTGTTACGCATTTATATTTATAATATTTGATAAATTTATATGTTTATTTATATATTTATGAAATCCGGGAATAACGTTTAGTATTTTTCTATTTTTTTAATGATTATTATTATAACTGATAACGAATAATTGATTTTTTAATTTTTAATTTTTAATTATACAAGTTTGTTTAAAATATACATGTATCATTTAACTATGCTAAGTTTATTTAAAATGTTAAATTTTGTTAATTAAATTTAAACTGAATTACTTAATTATAATAAATTAGTTACTTATAATAAATTAGTTACTTAATTATAATAAATTAGTTACTTAATTATAATAAGTTAATTATAATTACACACTATAATTTAAAAGAAAATCACAAAACATGTGATTAATCACAATTGTAATCCCATGAATAATTACTGTATTAGTTAAAATGGATTGTGATCCTTGCCCATGTATATTATATTAATAAATAAAAAAAACAAAAACAAATGATCAATAATTTTAGCGAAAACGGAAAGTATAACAAAATCTGATGACTTATATACACTTACAGTATAATATAGCAATATAAACAGTATAAACGAAAAATAAGAAGATCTTATTATAAGTTTAATTGTTTTCGTAAAGTATGACATGTCTCATGCTCAATTATATTCATTATAATCAAAATCAACAATTATTTTAACCTAAAGATAACTTTAATTTATTAATTCAAGACGGAGTTTATTGATGCTCGACATAAATATTTAAAAAATACTTGGCATATATAATTAAATGCTATGTGATATATTTTTTTGTGCTAGTGTGATATTAAAGTGATATAAAACAAGATAATTTCAAATATGGGCATACAAAGAAATAAATAAATACAAATAAAATATGAATATTACTCTAAAAAAAAAAAATTAATAAATTAAATTAATAGTTGTTATTTAAACTTCTTACTTTATACATCACCCAACATAAATTATTAAAGTAGCCATTTTTTTTTCATTACAGTACTCTAAAAAAGTATCGTGTAATATTTTTTTTTTTTTTTTTTTTAAAGTATTGTATTTTTGCTTATCGTTATTGATGCGTAATACCTGTATTAGATAAATAAACAAATATAAACTCAGATACGTATAAATTTGCGGTTGTCAGCCATGAATTTGATACATTCCGATTCCCGATTTTTCAGTTTTTTTTTTTTCTCGTTCTGAAATATTCATCTACCGCCTCTTTTTTTTTTTTTTTTTTGTTTTTTTTTTCTTATCATATTCTGTGTGTAGGGAGCTACTTTTTTTTATGAGCGGTTTCGACATGAAACACCAGCTCTCCATTTGAATCGATTTTACTTTGAAATTTTTTTAAAAAAAAATAATTAGTTTTTTTTTTTTTATTTTCTTTTCTTTCGGCGATACAAAACAACTCATAACTTCCACTTTTTAAAATGAATACGCTTCCAACTTTACCACCCATCAGCGCTATCTCTTGTGATACATTTTTACCTCCATTATTAACTTCAAGTCAACAAGGAAGCAGTTCTCTTCAATATCGAAATCAAACAAATATTGACAGGCATGAGCACTCACGTTATATGAGTGGCGGTGGTAACGGTGGTGGTTTACTTTCTTTGAACACTCAGTCAGCTCCTTCCACACCGTACCCTCAGTCACCTTATACTCCATACATTGCATCACCTTTACCAGTACAACCTCCATCTATTCCACAACAATCTTATTATCAACCTCAACCTCCACAAAGATCACCACCTACTTCATATTATCCACAACAAAATTATTCTTCTACTTATCCACCTTCATATCAACGTCAATCAACGCCTCCTCCTAGTCAAACTAATTCTCGTAGGCAACAACAGCATCATCAATCTCATTATTCACCTTATAATATTTCTCAAATATCTTCACAAAATACTCATTCACATCCTCAATTTACACAACAATCACAATCTTCTTCACATATACAACAACATGCTATTCCACCTATACGTCCATATCAGAGAAGTCATACTTCTCAAACTGTTATATCTGAACCTTTTGTAACAGTTACACCAGAATTAAATAATAGGCCACCTAGAAGACGTAGAAGACCTCCTTTTTCTTATTCTTCATTAATAGCTCAAGCTATTTTGGATTCACCTGATAGAAGATTGACTTTACGTGAAGTTTATCAATGGATAATGGAACGTTACCCACAATTATATAAAGCAGATGATACTGGTTGGCAGGTTAGTTTTTATTTTAAAAAAAAATAATAATAATAATTTTTTAATTTTTTTTTAAAAAAAAAATAATATATTAATAATAATAATAATAATTTTTTTTTTTTTTTTTTTTTTTCTTTAAAATTTACAAGAATACAATTCGTCATAATCTTTCATTAAACAAATGTTTTAAAAAGGTTCCTCGTTCAGATACAGAATTAGGTAATTCTACTTCATCATCTGCTGCAAGTAAAGGTAAAGGAGGATATTGGACAATTGATCCTGAATATATGACAGCTTATCATGATGGTGTATTCGCAAGGGGTGGTGTACAAAAACGTAGACCTGGAGAAGTTGGTTTACATCCAGGAATTAATAATTCAGGGATAGGTGATGATGATAGTGCTGGAAGTGATACTTCACCATCTGATAGTTTAGGTGGTAGATTAGTTGATGTAGATGATGATAATGAGAGTAATTTTCGTTATCGTATGCATCATAATAATAATTCTATGAGTGTTCCTGGTGATCGAATACCACAATTACAATTATCAATACCACCACCTCCATCTGTAATATCACCACCATCTTCATCTTCATTAATTACTCCTATGACTCCACCACCAACTGCATCTTCATTGATACCAAACAAACAACAGAAGAAACCTTTTTATTCTAGTAAAAGACATTCATCAGAATCTAGTTTTAGTAATGTAGGTTCTTCTCCATCACAATCTCCTTCTGGTTTCTCTAATACTAGTGGAACATCATCGGGTAGATATGATGTGTTTCATTTAACAGATTTTTCGGATGTAAATAACCCAAATAGAGATGTTTCTCATTGTTCACCTAATAATAGTAGAGGTGGGGGTTCGGGTTCTGAGTGGAATGTGAATGATTCTTTATCTGTAAAAATGGATAATATGGACATTGATCAAAAAGAAGAGGCGCGTTCATATTATTATGGGGGTCAACCTTCACTAATGAAGCGAGATGGTGATTCATCATATCAATATGTTAAGCATGAAGATGAAGAATCTAATTCTTCAATGAAAATACGTGATTTATTAAATTGAAAACATCAAAAAAACAAAAAAAAAACAGAAAACAAAAAAAAAAAATATTCACATTTCAAATATATATACCACCGTATTATCAATTTATCATATTTTTTTTTTTTTTGAATAACCCTTTATTATATTAAGATCATAATCGATGAACTATATATATGTAATTCTTTTAATCATTTTAAATTTCGCACTTTATTATATTCAATCGAGATAAATAACAATTAACAAAACCGAATTTTATTATATTTTCCTATTTATCATTTTTTTTTTTTTCACATTTTATTTCGGCATCATTTTCGCATTAGGTCAAAAATTTTATTCGCAAAAAAAAAAAAAAAAAAAAAAAAAATTAAAATATAGCTTCGATATATTATTTCTTTGTTGTGATTTCAAAAATTATTTTTCGTGTATATAACTTTTTTTTTTTTTTTTTTTTGATGTATATTGATACATTTTTCTTCATAGTTTCTTTTTTCTTTGTCATGTACTACTGTCTGTGAAATGTTTAAAATGGTTGGTCTTTTGTTTTTTGATTTTTTTTTTTTTTTTTTTTTTTTTTAAACAAAAGAACCATATAATAAAAAAAAAAAAAATTTTTTTAAAGAAATGAAAAGATTAATTCGAGTCACATGTTAAATTTATGCAAGTTTTTTTTTTTTGTTAATATTTAATGAGAGTAAACGGATAAATTGATGACATAAGCAAACTAATCATTCTTTTTTTTTTCTTTTTTCCCAAAGAGAAATTTGTTGGTAATTTGTTTATATTTTGAACGCAAAAAAGTGTAAATAGAATTAAGTGCGCGAAATGCGTGAAAAAACCAGCCTGCTGTAAATATAACAAACATATTACCATTAATGGATAAATTGATTGATGTATACATAAGTACATTTTACCAAATTTTGAATTTGTCAACGCGTAATATGGAGGCGTTATTAAAGGATACAAACGTAAAAATAGTATAAAAAAAAAAATGATTGTTAAATTGCGAAACTTTAATGAAGGCTTGTCAATCTTGTAATTCATGTGACACAAGTTATGATAAGTTTTTATTATTAATAAAATTTATATAAGAATGTTTTTTTCAATTTTAACTATAACTTTATTTTTTTATAAAGTATATTTCTTTATAACGGTAGAATTTTAAAAAAAATTTTAACTAGGTTAGTAAGTAGGTTAAATAGTTTTAATTTGGTTTAACTAGGTTAAATATTCTTTTAATTAGGTTTAACTGGGTTAAATGTTTACTCAAATAGTGATTAGATTTTTTTTTGAATCATCACTTTTGTGTATTCAAACATTCAATAATTAATTAAAAATTTTAACGTATTATATCAACTCCCTGTGTGTAAAAAAGAAAAGTTTTGGCAAAAATATTTAGTAATATCAAAATAATAAATAAATATTTAATTTAATAAAAAAAAAAATACTTTTTTTTTTTTTGTGGAAGGTGGCTTTACCGTAAGCTCATCATATTTTTCATTATACAATATTAACAAACATTGCTATAAAAGGATATTTGTAAAAAAAAAACAAACCACATGATAGAAAAAACTGTCTGTGAGTATGTAAATATTTCTTTTTTTTATTACAAATTATTATCGTTTAATTAATAATAATAATTATTATCATTATTATTGTTTAACAATCATAGAAATCCTAAATGTTTTTTATGGTAAATGAAATAATAATGATAATTATAGTTCCGATGTACTGAAAAAAAAAAAACCATTCAAAGTATATAAAAAGATATTTTAAAGTAGATTGAAGTCATCATACTTGATATAAATATTTTTTTAATAGTAAATGAGATAATCATAGTTCTGATGTACGTACTGAAAAAAAAAAAATTCATTCAAAAAGTATATAAAAAGATATTTTAAAGTAGATTAAAGTCATATATATGTAGCCTTATTTATTATTAGAATTAATATATTTATAACCATAGACCTGTAACTATAATGTGACTATTAAAATAATTTTTTTTATAAAAATAAAACCTACGATTAAGATGAGGGTTAGGGTAAAGCTTGGGATTTTATCTAGGCATTAGTATATGCAAAATTTAGCGAGGAATTTTTTGATTTCACGTTACACCTGATCCTAAAATTTGATTGGCTTTATTGACTATATACTGTATATATTTTTCCTTATCGTTATTATTAATTTTTGTTTTTTTTGTACAGGAATTTCAGTTATTAGAACATGTGGCGGTACATTCTCTAAAATTGTATTTAAAAAAAAAAATGTATTTTAAATATTAGATAAATTAAAACAAGTCGTGTACCTGTTTTTTTATAATTTAAAATACGGAATTTAAAATACGGACTTTTACGTAATGTGTACAGCAGAGTACTTTTAAAAAAGATGAATTTTTTTAAAAGAATTTTTTAAAAGTTATTATTATTATTATTATTATCGAGACTTTGAAAAAAGACTTCACATGATATGAAACAATAGACCCATTTTTACGATACAAATTCTTTGAATGCTATATAAAATATAACATTAAAGTGAATTCTTTATAAAATAAAATAAAAATTAGTAATCAGTACAACGTACAAACTTGTGATGCATTTACAATAATAATTAAAGTCTCGGTATTTGGCAGTTACCGAATCCAAATAAATGTTACGTAATTTATAAAAAAATAGAAGGTAAATTCCAAGTGTTCCAAGTTCTTTGTTGTTGTTTTTTTTTGTAATTTAACGGTTTTTAATAACTTATCAATTATAATTTAATATGATATATAAAATAAATAAGTTTATAATGTGATATGTACTATATTATTTTTCTATTAATTGTTAGAATGTTAATAATGTTTTGATAATATTATGAATTAGGGAATTGGGTCAAAAAAAAAAATAAAAAATAAATAACATTAATGCGGGGTGTATTTTCTTTGTTAAAAAAAAAAAAAAAAAAAAGAAAAAAAAAACATTAGATAATTGTTAATTAATTGTTTTTGTTTGAAATAACATTTCTTTCAAGTTGTTGGTGTACTCGAAATGAAAGTGTACATTTTTTACCGTTTACTTTGTGTGATACCAATATTATCTGCGAGAATGAATTTGCTTATCAGTTAAAATAAATTCGTTTAATTGATATTGTTTATATTAATTTAATTAAATTAACAAATAGTAATTTGTTTGATTACATAATAGTTCAACAAATAAGAAAAAAAAAAAAAGTTAAATATATATATTTGTCTGGAGAAAAAGTAATATAACCCGGCAACGTCCCCTTAAAAATAAAAGGGATAAAAAGGAAAGTAAATATTGATCGACGATAAACTCAAAAAAAAAAAAAAAAATGAAACAATAACGAACAAAATTTAAGGGAACTTTAAAGTGTACACATTCGGGGAAACCTTTTAACGTAAATGAAATAGTTACCCACGCGGAAATTTCTATACCAACCTAAATAGGTCGCGTATTTACAAACTTAAGTATCAACCCGATATGCACGATAAGAATAATAAAATCATTATCAAAAAGAAAGAAAAAAAAAATAAACAGAATAACATCTAGATAAGCTCAATTAATAAATTATTAATTTATTTACAATTATGGAAATGTTCACAGAGAAATTTTATGGGAAATTAAATAAACATCTCACGAGCACAAAAAATGTTTAAGTGATACGAATCAACATTCACAATAAGTATCACCAAATCACAATGGGTTCAATAAAGAGTCAATTGTTTATCTTACAAATATTTGACGAGTATTTGACGTAGTTTTGATGCAGTAATTTTACGCAGTAATTTTGACGCAGTAGTTTATTTAGGCTGACGTAGTAATTTTATGCAATACTATATCATGATAGTGTACAAGTTTATGCAATACAAAATACGCAATAGTTTACGTAATTTACACAGACAGTGTTTTACATAGTGTTTAAGTTAATGTAACATCGGTAAACGTAGTTTAGTTTTACACAATACACAATAGTTCACACAATATTTGATGTTACGTAAATTGCGGAGTTTTACAAATAAATTTACAAAAAAAGTTTACAAAAAAAGTTTACAAAAAAAATTTTACAAAAAAAAAGTTTATAAAAATTTATAGATACATAGTATAAAATCTTGTAACTCATTAATAACTCATTAATATTATTTTTAAAGAATATTAAATAAAAAAAAAAAACAAATAATATAAAGATAAGAATGGATTATACTGTTTCAAAGGGATTTCAACCAAATTCAGTACGCAAATACCTTAAACTTTAGGTACATCAAAAACACATCGGACTTTCACGTCAGTCATGCGATGTAAACGCGCCAACTTTCCAAGTTCGATTGTTTAAAATGATCATCAAACTAAAACAAATCTAAAATCAATCTAAAAATCAACTAAATCTAAACTAAAAAGCAAACTCAAATCAAACTTAAATCAATATCAAATAAAAAACTAAACCCAAATTGACAATCAAATAAAAATCGAAATAGCCCAAAAACCAAATGAGGTAATATCAAACCCCTACCTTGGCGAAGTAATTGAACACTTTTTTAAACAAACATTTTGAAATCGAAAATATTTTATCATCATACATAATAAATAACTTTCTATAATAATTCATTTAAACAACGTAAGCCGCCACATGATACAAAACATACCAAAGAAATATCAAACAAATGATGTAATAATTTATTTATTTATTTTATTTTATTTTTTTTATTTTTGATGGGAAAAAAAATATATAATTTTGAATCTCCGAAAAATGAAAAAATATATACGTACAGTACGTACTGATTAACAGTTAAATGTATCATATAATATTTTGAATATGCAATAACCTACTTATAAGTAAATTAACTTAACAAATATCAATAAACATTAATTAACCTAATTCTTATATTAGGCAATTAGATTTTTTATTTTTATTTTTTTAAAAAAAAAAAAAACGAACTAACTATTCTCCGAAAACTAAATGATGATTTACAAACCTAACTATATATATTTTATGGCGGAGGCTGTTTACATTTTAATTAATGCATACAATGAGACCTTCTTCCGGATTTAACAAGTATTTAAAAAAAAAAAATCATTTATATTAATACATTAATAACGATAAATATAACACAGAGTACATACATTTTAAGTAAAATGGAAAAATAAATTAATACGTAAGTTTATTAATTAGCATGAATATTTTTTTAATACGTACGTACCAGATAACTGTACGTAATAACGTTAACAGTAATGGAAAAAAAATAAAAAAACTGACAAGCGATAGACAATGGGAGAAAGAAATATAGATGCACCCCCTTCAGAAAGAGGCATCTTCCAGTAAGATTGTGCATAAAAGAAAAGACTGGTGACACACTTTAAATCGGTGATACGAGTAAATACGAGTGGAAAAAAAAAAAATCTTCAAAAACTAGTTTTTTTTGTTCATCAGGCGTTTTACTCATTAGTTAAAATTAGAGTCAAAAAAAAAAAAAAACTAAAAATTCATTGAATCACCAATTAAAGATAAAATAAAATAAAAACCAAATAGGAAATGCTTTGAAAACTAAAAACAAAAGGTGGTACGTTCAAGTCTAGATCAGGATGGGCGCGTGTTGTTTATTGTTTGTCATCATCAATCACGAAATGATTGCTTAATATAATAAAGAATCAGTGTTCCCACAAACAAAAAAAGATAAAAATCTTTGGTAATCAACAAACAACAAACAAACCGCAAGTTAAACAAGATGACTGGTTAACGACAGACCTTATTTATAAAAATTATTTTTAATATAATAATTACTGTATACGTATAATAATAATAATTAATAAAAAAAAAAAATAATATACTACGTATACGTAATATTATTATTAACATAATATATTGTAATACAAGTGTAATATTTGTAATATTTGTGTTATAATATAATTAAATAATAAAGTATCATATAATGCTAAATTAATGCTAAATTAATACAAAATTAATACAAAATTAATGCTATATTAATACTACATCAATGCTATATTAATACTATATCGAATATCTGATATTAACGTTAAATGTACTAACATATTATCATTCATTATGCGCTAATAAGTGTATAATAATAAAAATAATAAAAATAATATTATTACTATTACAGTTTATTACAGTATTACGTATCATTACTATATTTTATATTATTATCATTACTATATTATTATATATTACTATATTATTATATATTATTTAAATTATTATATTATTTAAAAGGATATATTGAAGAGAAACACTAACAAGGTTTGAAATCTTTAACCAAGGAGGGTAAC